TCCCACCCCGACCTCCCCTGCTCTCAGCATCCCCCCTCCCATTCTCCCACCCCGACCTCCCCTGCTCTGCCTCTGTGGCTGAGGTGACATTATTTACCACCTCTTGTCGCTGTGTTAAATTCTTTTCATTAATTATCTTCCATTATTTCCTCCTCTCCTTAGCCCCAAAGTCACAGGTGAGGAAACTGACGTTCAGGAACAGAACATGAGTTCTCCAGCACTGCACAAGAGAGAGGCCGGGTGGGCCTCGGGTTCCCAGCCAGGGGCTGACTAGACAGGGTCAACAGCAAGTTTTGACAGAGAGGCCAGGCATGGTGGTGCATGTTTGTAATTCCAGCACTCAGGAAGCTGAGGCAGGAGAATCATCATCAGTTTGAGACCAGGCTGGACTACACAGTGAGTTCTAACCTAAGTGACCTAGTCAGATCCTGTCTCAAAACAAAACAGAACAAAGCAAAACAGGCAGTGTGAAGGCCCTGGGTTCAATTCCCGGCACAAAAACAAAACAAGAGGAGCTGGGGATTTAGCTCAGCGGCACAGTGCCTGCCTGGCAAGCGCAAGGTCGTGAGTTCGATTCCTGGTACTGGAAAAAAAAAAAAAAACAAAAAAAACAAGGGAGAGAGTGGGAAAGGTGGGGGCACCAAAGGAGGGACCCCTGTAACTGGGACGAGACTGCAGCCACATCCCCCTCCCAATATTTATCCCCCTTGCCCTCGGGGCCTAGGTAGGGGATGAGTAGGGCGCAGGTCCCTCCGGCATTCAAGCCATTCCCCTTGGGGAGCGGGGGCACAAGGAAGGCACAGAGCCCTGAGGTGGCACCGCCTTCTCCACTCCTTTCTCCCAGAGTCCCGGCTGTGAGGACCCACCTGCCCTCCACCCTCTCTGGCCACGATCTCTTCCCTTTGAGGAAAAGCACATTCTCCTCAAGGCCCTAGGGATCTTCTGGCCCCATGGGAGACTCGTGCGGGAGAGCTCAGGGAAATTTAAGTAGGGACCTGTATAGGGAGGCCGGAATAGAGCTTCTGGGGTTCCAGTTGCCGAGCCTTGCATCCCTCGGTTCACATCAATCAGTACAACCTCTGCCTCGGACCAAATGAATGAAGCCGAAGAACAGGGATGAACGCAGGGAGGCTCCAGGCTTGGGCAGGCGGCTGCAGGGGATGGCAGAGGAGTGAAGAAAGCAGGGGTAGCTTACTCCTTGGCGGAGGAGGCTGCAAAGCAGGCCCGGAAGACTTCAAGGAGCAAAGATGTGAGTTAGGGTTTTCCAGTGAACGCTCCAGGCAGGAAAGCACAGAAGCAGGTGAAGGCGGCTCAGCCGAGGTGGACAGAGCGCTGTGATGGGGCGGGGCCAGGGGCCAGGTCTTGGACGGCCAGGTGGCAGGTGGAGGGCTTAGCCTGCCTCCGCGTGGATGAGAACCACAGGGCTCTCCTCTCCCAGCAGGGGTTCAGAAGAGCCCCTGGGAGCAGCGTGGGCTGCAGGCGGGAAGGCAGCAAGGGGAGCATAGCCAGGGTGTGGGTGCAGGCGAGGGACACCGAGCAGCTTGTAGGCAGCAACGTAGGTTCCTAGACCGTCGGGGCTCCTCCAGCAGCGGGAAACTCGCCCCCTCAGTCCTTCCCTCGGGCAGCTGTGGCTGGGAGAAGGCGCCTCCGAACGTGCGGCTCCAGCCCATCGGTCAGGTGTGGGGATGGGACGGGACAGGAAGACGCTCCTCTCCGCCCTGGGGGTGCCCAGAAGGACGGGCGCTGGCGACCTCTAAGCGCAGGCCGAGAGGTTTGATGGAGACCGTGCGACCCCTCCCTGTGCATCTGGGCAGGGCCAGAGTTTGACCCCCACAGCACCCTGAGCAGATTAGACACCCAGCGGGTCCCCTGGGAATTTGTGGCCAAACACACTGGCGCTCCATGACTGACCCCAGGAAAGCCACAGAACAAACACAAAGACGTCTGTAAAACCGGCAATCTTCGGCATACATTTTATTATTTTTTTTATAAAAGGCAAAGGAGTACACTGTGGAGCGGTGTATTAAAGGGGTAAAGACCCTTTTGTTAGGGTCTCCCAACCCCCATCCCTAAGACTGTAACATCTGCTGTATATATTTTAAAAACAACATAAAAGCAAACATGAAACTTATGACCTGGACTTCACCCCCTACCCCATGCCTATTTTACGACAGAAGCACACTACGCAGCTCCGACTCAGGGATTCTAGAGCCCCAGGCCGGAGAAGGGGCCCCTCCTCCCCAAAGCCTGAAGGCCCACTTAGAAAAAAGGGCAGACACACACTCAGAGACACACACCAGACCCTCCGCCACCCGGAGCCCCTCAACACGCACACCGTGTGGCCTCCCTCACCCACAGAGGGCCGCGCCGCCTCTGCCTCCCCCGGGCTCACGGCACCATTAGGGTCTTTTAAGAAAGATCCCTTCTTGCCCTGAATATCTGGGAAACCACACACACGCACACACACACACACACACACGCACACGACTGACTGCTGCCCATTCTCTCCTCTGTCCAGTTGGGCAGGGTCCAGTGGAAATCCTGGAGGAGGGTGTCCAGCGGGGTGGACGCGCAGGGGAGCGTGAGGGGCTGCCGGGGAGTGGTCCCGGCTCAGTCTTTAAGGCTCCAGGAGAGGCCCGGCCGCCCCTCAGATCTGCTCCTTGTGCGTCACGTGGGCCAGCTTCACGTTCTCCTGCTCGGTGGAGGGGGGCGGCTGCTCCAGGTGGCAGCCGATCATGAACTGGTACACGAAGACACCCGTGATGGAGCCCAGCAGCGGAGACACGATGGGCACCCACCACCAGTGCCGGCCGGTCCTGGGGGCAGACGCGCAGTCAGCAGAGGGCGGGCGGGCGGAGGGGCCGCGGGGCGCGCGGGCGGGCGCCGTACTCACGTGAAGACTTCCGAGCCCCAGCCGGCGATGGCGGTGAACAGGCGGGGGCCGAAGTCCCGGGCAGGGTTGACGGCGTAGCCGGAGTTGAAGCCCATGGAGGTGCCGATGACCAGGACCACGAGGCCCACGGTGAAGGCCTCCAGGCCGCGGGGGACGGGATTGTTGTAGGGGTCCACGATGGCCAGCACACACACGATGAGGGAGGCTGTGCCTATGAACTGGGGAGCCGGCAGACGGGTGAGGAGCAGCGCTGGCCACACCCTCAGCCCTCCTTCGCCCACCCCCAGTTCCTGGAGTCCTGCTCCTGACACACTGGGCAAGGAGTCCAGCCTAAGAATTTACGCGGAGCTGCACAGCTGGGAGGACCTGCCGCTGTGCTCCCTCGCAGGGCGCCCACAGCTCGAGAAATCTCGCTGTAATCAAGGAGGCCTGGCCGCCAGCCAGCCAGGAGCGACCCAGTTGCTTGGTCCCCCCGCAGCCCCCGCACGCGTCCCCAGGCCATACCTGGTCGAAGAAGCCATTGACCATGTCCAGGTGTCCAGAGGGGTAAGTGGCAAAGATGCCGGCCGTGCCGTTGGGGCCGGAGACGATTAGCTCGTTGTTGGCGAAGGCCCAGATCGCATCTGGTGGTCCAGGAGACCAGTGGGTGAGGGCAGAGGCCTGCGCGCAGCCTCCCTCTCGGGCTGGCCCTCCCCACCCTCGCGGAGGTCACGCGTGAGCAGCACCCCTGCTGCAGGACTGGGGAGGCACAGCGGGCAGGGTGCGCGCGGCAGGGGAGGGCCCGAGACTGCTGTTGCCCAACTCATCCCTTTCCCCGTGGGCCTACGAGTGAGCGAGTGAGTCACCAGCCGGGGGCCTGGGCCGGCCCCAGCTGTCTGTCATCGAAAAGCCCGGTGCCAAAAGATCCCAAGCCAAGGAAGGAGTGGCGGAGGTAGGCAGAGTGGGAAAGCTTACCATAGTACAGCCCAAAAATGATCCCAGCACCCAAGAAGGCTCCCAGCGTCTGAGCCAGGGTGTAGACGGGCAGCTTGATCCAGGGCTCTCGTGCCAAGAAGCACATGGCAAAGGTCACAGCAGGGTTCAGGTGGGCCCCTGGGTAGACAGGAGGCAAAACCTATTAGCTATAGCCCCTTGCAGCGGAGATGCCAGGGCCCCCGACATAGTCCTCCTCTCTGGTCCTGGCAAGAAGGGGTGCAGAGCACGGCTGCGGGTACGAGATGGCGGTCAGGTTGTGTAACAGGCAGACTCATAGCCTCAGGATTCAGGTGAGAGCTGAGGGTGGGAAGTGTCAAGTTGCTTCTCCACCCTCCCCTCCCAAGGCGAGGCACGGCTACGACCTGCTGCTGGGAATTCACTGCCCAGTGGAACACCTAGGGAACGGCGCTGAGGGTCAAAGATGGTAGGTGGTGCTAAGACTTACCAGAGACCTGGCCAGCGATGAGGATGCCCAGGGTGACGGCAAAGCCGAAGGCCAGGTTGATGGTGAGGAAGCCCCCATGTGTGCCCCGGCTGAGCACCACCTGGGCCACGGAGCCACAGCCGAACATCTGCGCCAGGAAACAGAACAAGGAGGGGAGGGTGAGGCCCCTCGCACGGTCTCAGCGACTCTCACGTGCAGGGGAGGGGTGAGGCCGGCAACCTCCACCTGCCAGCACCAGGAAGACGGACGTCCTTCCTGGAAGCCAGTGCAAGGCCCTTCGGCTGTGACCGCACGCACCAGCCAAAGGAAGCGTGCCCTCTCACCCCTCACGTGCTAGCTCCCCTACGGGACCCTGCGAAAGGGGCTAGAAGCAGGTCCACAGCTGGCAGCTTAGAAGAGACCAGAACGATAGTCCTTGTTTTCTCTTGAACCCCAAGGGCGGGGTAGAGGGCCAGCTTTCACCGTCACACGGCTCCTTCCCCAGCTCTCAGGCCTGGCCACGGAGTGGAAGTTGTCCCCCGTCCCGCAGCTGCCCCAGAGAAGAGCTGGGAAGGTGCTGGTGGTGACGACGAGGGTGGAGGGACGCTCGTGCCCGGGGAGAGCCAGGACGTGGTGCAATCCACTTCTCCTGCGTCTGGGAGGTCAGAGTCTGGGGCTCGCCCACCTTGTCCCTGGTCAGCGCCCTCAGCCTCTTGGCCCGTCCCCGCCCCAGCACCTCCTCTCTGCACCCGCGCAGAGCCCTCTGGTCGCAGAGCTCCAGGCCCTCCAGTCGGCTGCGGAGGTCCCTAACCCCGGCTCTGAGCCGCTCCTCCTGCAGTCCCAGTGAGGACCAGGGCAGAGAAAGTGGAGACTATTCTGAACTTGCTGCCCCGGATGGAGAAAGCTTAAAGGGGACTAAGCTCCCTGATGTCCTGCAAGGACAGGATGTACTACACGTCTGTTCCCCTTGTTCCAATGTGAAAATACTTCTGCATTAGCGAACTCCAGCGGGGCTGAGTCCTGGTTCAGGTCTCCTCCCCTCCTTTCCTATAGCTAACGGTGCTGTGCGGTCCCACAGGCAGTTTCTGGAACTGAGCTTAGGGGCCTGTGCGTTCTAATGGGTCGGGGCCTGTTCTTAAGCGCTCTGATGACGCCCTGTCAGAAATACCAGGAGACAGCGGGGAAGCAGACGGTGCTCCAGGGCGAAGGAGCGCGGGCAGGTGAGGGCAAAGAGCAGAGACTGCGAGTAGGGGTACAGGGGTGGCGCAGGCACATGGAGGTCTGGGGCACTCTGCCAGGCCTCAGCTCTTTGCCTGCCTGAGGCCAGACCTGGCTCCATCCCAACAGGCCTTGGAGGGAGGAGCTGTCAGAGCCAGTTCTACCGCATTGGGGCTAATCTTCCTCTTCCTTCCCCACCCCCTGCCCCAAGTTCTTGGTCAGCCCCCACCCTGCCTGCCTCACCTGCCTCAGAACCAGGGGCTTCCTGCAGCCAAAGCCAGCCCTAACCCGGCCACTGCTCTAGATCCCAAGCCCTAGAGGAATTAGTCACACCCTCCTCCTCCACCTGAGGGCCCCCGGGCGTGGCCCCCGCTTGCCGGGCAGCCCTTGCACTGACACCTGACGCCCCTCACCCCCTGGGCCTCACACCTCCTTTTGTGGTCTAGGATAAGCCAAAGGATTCTGGGGCTCGGCGAGAGGACCCGCTGCTCCCTTTCTGGTTTAAACTGACACTGGGCTGGGGTGGGGAAGCCCCTCTGTGACAGCGGAAGGCCCCGTCTTTGGTTCCATCGCAAGACGCCTGGCTAGAGTAATGAGTTAGAGGAGTGGGGGCTTCGGGGCAGGAGGAGAACATGCTCCCCAATTCTCTTCTCGCTGCGGGAAAGCAGGGTAGGGACAATGTATATGGCCACTCGTCCTAAGAAGCCAGAGTATGCGCCCCCGCCCCCCGGTTCCCTGAGCCTGGCCACCCCTCGTGGAGCGTCCCCGCCCCCCGGTTCCCTGAGCCTGGCCACCCCTCGTGGAGCGTCCCCGCCCTCCGGTTCCCTGAGCCTGGCCACCCCTCGTGGAGCGTCCCCGCCCCCCGGTTCCCTGAGCCTGGCCACCCCTCGTGGAGCGTCCCGGTCCCCCGGGCGCTGGGGCCTGTGCTACTTCCCTCTGAGGCTGGGCCGGAAACGATAACCCACCCGCTGCGGTGGGACACCCGCACGGAAGCCGCGGGGGAAGAGCTGGCGCAGGCTGAGCGCTAGGATAACCGGGGCAGGAAATGTGAAGTGGGGCTGGGGCTCTGCCGCCCCGGAGGGACACAGGGTCACCCGGAGCACCCCGGTAAAACTGGCAAACCCGGAGTAGGGGACCGAGAGCCAGGCAGGGGGCTCTCCGTGCGGGTCCGGCCGCCTTCTGCGACCCCAGACAGCCCTTCCTGTCCGCCCGTCCGCGGCAGGCCGCCCGCCGCGCTGCAACGTTTGGACCTTCTGAGCTCGATTACTCGTTGGGGCAGACACCACGCACCCTCCGGGCCCACTCACCACGAGGATGAGCGTCCCCAGGCACTCGGCCATCGCCTGGCGGAGCAGCCGGTAGCGGACGTGCAGCACCTCCCCGCAGCGGGACACCAGCTCCTTCTGTCGACCCATGC